TCTGCCTACTCTTTTGTATATATATTTATACATACGTTCGTATGTTCACTCATTCATTCATTCATTATTCATAATTCATTCATCATTCATTCAATCATTCATTTATTCATTCATTCATTCGGCCATTCAATCATTCATAAATTTTAACAAGAGAAAGAGAGAGAGAGAGAACATAAGGAAAAACTAATTAGGAATATAAAAGACGATAAAAATTAAAAACAAACTAATTGAAAATAAAAAAAAAATCAAAGAACATAAAACATAAAAAAATAAATAAAAATACAACGGCATAGACATATTAGGCTGATGACGTCAATATACACTGTCGCCATGTTGCAATAGTTTCCTTCAGAAATTGAAATTGATGTTTGCGCGTTGGGTAGCAAACAAACAAACAAACAAACATACATACAAACATACAAACAAACATACATACAAACATATATACAAACAGACATACAAACGAAATAAACATACATACAAACATACATACATACAAACAAACAAAACATTCAAAAAAAACCACCTACATACAAAAAACAAACAGACATATAAACATACATACATACAAACAAACAAACAAACCGACATACAAACAAACATCAACAGCAAAATTTTGTTTGGGCCACCGCTAGAATAATTAAGCCGAGGACTTTGGAAACAACGTATTTATTATTTTTTATAGTTGTCATGGGCACTTGGCTTTAATGATGTGTGCTAGTCTTACGCATTATTATTATTATTATTAGTAGTAGTAATTGTTGTTGTTGTTGTTGTAGTAGCAGTTGTTGTAGTAGTAGTGGCAGTGGTGGTAGAAGCAGCCACAACAACATCAGTGGCATGGATAACGCCGGCTGCTTATTTATGCATGTATGAGTTCCATGTGAGATATAAAATTTTTATGATGTATGTGTATTATAGACATTTAAGTTAAATGTACACACATACATACATCCGCACATTCACACACACACGTACGCACACATACATACATACACACAGAAATGTTTTAAATCACACAGCATACTAATAAAATAAAAAAGGTTTCTTTTGAAGTGGTCCCATAATTAACTTACTTTTATTTCATTTCGTAGCGCTAACTTTTTTATATTCCAGCTTTTTTTTCCTCCCTCCAATCTTTGTAAATTACTGAAATACATACTTGGTATTTAGGCTAGGTATTGCTAGGGTATTTCGCAATAAAATGCCCGCGGAAAAAGTTTGAAACACTTGAAAAAATTAAAAAAAACTAAATATTTTAACTAATTAACGCTCGCAGACAGTAATTGCAAAAAACAAGAAACTATTTTATGAAAAATTGAAACAGTTCAACCACTCGCAAAGAGCCAGCGCACAACATCGTGAGAAACTTGAAACGAATTGAAAGAAATACAATATTTATACGATTCAATTGCTCGCCAAGAGCCAGCGGAGCAAACTGTAAGAAACTTGAAACGAATTTGAAAGAAATTGTAATATTGGGCGATTGAATTTTTTTCCTATATTTTTAAGTTTCTTGATACCAGTTCAAACACTCGCAGTGAGCCGGCGGATAAAAGCAAGAGAAACTTGAGACAACTTTAGAGAAATATAAATGTTGAAACAATTCAATTTCTTTCCAACGGACAAAACTGCCTGAAAAATAAAAATTGAGATTGAGTTCAATGGTATATAGAATTGGCTTGAGTTGTAAGCTTAAATATCACATGCTATCTTTGATTCACATGTTAATGTTTACTAAAATTGAAAGAAATATAGATATAGAAACGATTAGACTGAATTTTGAATTTTACTGAATTTTGTTTGTTACACTAAGCTAATCTCAGTCATGTAGTTATTATCTTAATTACTTAGGATTAATGGTCAATTGGCACACCAAATTTTGAGGCAAATAAATGGAAGATTGCTATAAGCCTTTGCATTGTGTTTGTGGTCGTAATTGGACATAAGCCTGAAACAAATACAACCGGAAAATATTTTCATTTCAAACATACATACCTACATACAAAACACAAAACACATGTCAACATACATAAATTACACACACACACACACACACACACATAAATACATACATACATGCAAATACACATGTATTATTGTATTTTGTTGGGTATTTTTATGAGCACGCGTGGGAATTTGGCCTAAACTGGACGATGGAATATTCACATGACATTGTCAAATCAATAGGAAATCAATGTACGTTTTGTTAAAATATGACCGCTATATTGAAACGATAAAAAGAGAATTTGTTGTTGTGTATATTCGTTTGTATGTTTACTATTATTTTTGCTATTGTTGTTGTTGTTTAGTTATATTGTAATAAACTACGTTTGTGTGTGTGTGATAGAGAGAAAGAAAGAAAGAGAAAAGAGAGAGAGAGAGAGGGGGGAATGAAGAAAGAGAGAGAGAAGAAAAAAAATAAAAAGAAAGAGAAAGAGAATTTTTGTCTATTTTATTAGTAAAAGAAGCTATCAAATCATCATTTCTGTAAATGAATAAACCAGATTAATAATACAAACATGTATACATACATAAATACACATTTACACATGCAAACATGCATACAAACAAAACGTGCACGCAAATATACAAACAAACAAACAAACAAACATACAAACTTGTTTGTGTGTGTGTGTTTGTAGTTTATTAAGCAATACTGTTGGACAGAGTTCACCGTATAGTCTTCTGTCGACGACTCTTTAATAACGTCATCAATTTTTTCAATCATCATCTCATCTTCTCCTTCTTCATCATCACCATCATCATCATTATCATCATCATTATTATTATCATCATCATCAACAAACAACAACAACAACTATGACGTCATTGTCATCTTCGTCAACATCAACCTCTTGTTTGTTGTTTTACAACTTTCTGGGAAAAAAATTTTAACAGAAAAAAAACCTGTCAGTTTTGAAGTGTTAAAAATTTCATGTCTAGAAAATGAGGAACAGCGGTAAGAAGTTGAAATACAAAAGCATACAAGCAAAAATGTAAATAATAAATACATACATATACAATACTAAAAAAAACAAACAAAATACAAAAATGAAAAAGTTGACTAGCGTAAATGAATTTTTATACGTATAGAAAGAAACGAGAAGAAATTTTTGTTTGAGGTGATGTTTACAAAAAAAAAACAAACAAACATAGATTTATCTATATATGTATACACATCAAATACATACATACAAACAAACATACATACATACATACAAACATACAAACAAACATCCAAACAAACATACAGACAAGCAGACTGAACATACGCTCATAAATTGACATGGAAAATTAAACATACATGCTTGTTTGTATGTATGTTTGTTTGTTCGTTTGTTTGTTTGTTTGTTTGTATGTTTGTATGTTTAACATTGTTTCGGCAAAAAATGTTTCACAATACATTTGTTATTTTCTCTGCGCCCAATTGCTTTAATTTTCCAAAGTAAAAACAAAACCAAAAAACCGCCCATACTTGGTGCAAATATTTATTATACATACATACACACACACACACACACCACACATACATACACACATACATTCATTCATACATTCATTCATACATACATACAAACAAACATACATACAAACATACATACAAACATACATGCATACAACTTTGACAAATTGCTCTTGCCCACTTGTCGACGCCAGGATGGTCCTTGAATTACGTCATTATGAAAATCGTCACGTGACTTAATCTTGTTTTTTTTTTATTGTTATTATAAATGAAATAATAAAATTAAAAATAATTATAAGTCTAATAATAATAATAATAATAATGATTAGAGTTCCAGTTTAAAAACTGAGCAATGTTGAACGGGACTACATCTGACGATGATGGTAATGATAATTGGAAGATGATGATAACGATGAAGACAGTGTTGATGATGACGTCATAAAGGACGATGATGATGGCGAATATGTTGTTTAAAATGTTTCGTCGCTCAAGAAACACAATATAAAACCCAATGACGTGAATTTGATTAAAAAAATCTCGTCATGTATAAGTGGCGTGTGTATGTTTGTATGTATGTATGTTTATATGTTTGTATGTATGTTTGTATGTGTATGTTTGTATGTATGTATGTATGTTTGTATGTATGTTTGTTTGTCTGTTTGCAAGTATGTATACATGTATGTATATTTTTAAATTTTATGCGTGTGTTAAGTAATGTTATAATTATTATCATTGCAACTAGATACTCCAACATCATCATCATCGTCATCATCGTCATCATCTCCATTTTAATATTGATTATTTTTGTCTTGCATCGTAGACAATTAAATTCATTTGTCATTGCTTCATTCACTTATACATACATACAAATATACATACATACAAACATACAAACAGACATACATACAAACACACATACATACAAACGTACATACATGCATCTACATACAAACAAACATTTATACATACATACATATATACGGGTACAATTGAATACAAACATATTGTACTGTCGTACATTATACATTTGTACAGAAAAACAAACAAAAGATTGGATCACTGATTGACGGAATGTGCGATTGGATGAGTAAACATTAAAAACAAAGAAATAATTGAATGAACGAGTGATTGAGTGAATGAATAAATGAATGAATGAATAAATGAATGAATGAATGAATGGATGGCACATTTACAAATAACGGATTGAAAGAGTGACAAACAAACATTCGAATGAATAATTGAAAAACCGACAAACACAAACGAACGAACTAAAAAAACAAACGAACGAACAAACAATCGATCAAATGAACGAATGAATGAATGAAAGAAAAAACAAGAAATAAATGAATGAAAGAAGGAAGGAAGGAACGACAGAAGGAATGAAATACAAACGTTGAAACATGGGTTTCGGTTCGTCTCACATTGTTTCTTTTTTAGAAAATTTTGTCTCAAGCAAGTTGTACTTTTTTCAAAGAACTTTTTGTTTCTACATTTTTTTTATTTTTCACAAACACCATTTTGTTTCTTTTTTATTCTAGCCGTCTATCATTTTGTTTTTTTTGTCTTCTCTGTATATACAAAACAATGCAACTGTTTGTAAGCAGTCGATTGTTTTCTTTGAACGTACATATATACATACGTGCAGACATACATACATACATTGATACATACATACATACATACATACATACATACATACATACATACATACATACATACATACATACATACATACATACATACAAACATACGTACGTACATACATACATACATACATACATACATACATACACAAACATACGAATTCATAAAATTTGAGTTATCACAAATAAAAATTAAAAGCTATGAAAGGTATCGCTTGAAATTACATTGCTTTTGAAAAAAAAAATATACAAAAAATACAAATGAAACACATGTAAAAACAATCAAACATACAAAATATACAAACAAATGTACAGACAAACACAAACAAATATACAAAATATACAAACAAGCACCACAAAATATATACAAGTTTAAACGCTTACCTGTAACATGGTGTGTGAATACTAGCATGACATAAATAAGCCGCACGGACATAATCATGATCATGTCGTTGCTGTAGCTGATGTTTCGGCTCTTGCAGTGGCTGAGGTAGTAACAGAAGTTGCTGTAGTTGCTGTAGTTGTAGTACTTGTTGTAGTTGTAATTTTGTTGCTGTCTTGAACGTTGATATTATTGTATAACTATGATTATTATTAAGCTGACTTTGTTGATGTAGTTGATGTAGTTGTTGTTTATGTAGTAGTAGCAGCAGTAGTAGCAGCAGCAGCAACAACAGTAGTAGTAGTAGTAGTAGTAGTAGTAGTAGTAGTAGTAGTAGTAGTGGAGGTATTAGTAGTAGTAGTTGATTTTGATTTTTCCGTTATTGCTCAACTCTGAGTTGAAACTTCTAATTCACCGAGATGTTTTTTGCGAGTCACGATATGAATTAATTTCTACTTGAATACTACTACTGCTGCTAGTAATAATATTATTATTATTCTTATTATTTATTATTATTATTATTTATTATTATAATTATTACTGATTTAGTTAGCTTTGATTGGATCTACCAATAGAACTACATATCCTATTAAAATTAAATTAGATTAAAATCCCATTTGAAATAAAATTTGTAATAATGATTAACAGCAACAAGAATATCTGGACAAAATAAACAAAAATAATGGTGAAATAAGTTTTCATTAACTAATTAATTAACTAATTAATTAATTGAGTAATTAATTAATAACCATAAGTATTTTAAATTGGTATAGGTAAAAAACCACACACACACTCAACTACAATACTAATACTAAATAAGATCACACGTTATATAATGTATATATTTCAATTTCAGTCTAGATATGTATATACGTATGTACGTATGTACGTATGTATGTATGTATGTATGTATGTATGTATGTATGTATGTATGTATGTATGTATGTATGTATGTATGTATGTATGTATGTATGTATGTATGTATGTATGTATGTATGTATGTATGTATGTATGTATGTATGTATGTATGTATGTATGTATGTATG